TTGTTTCTCGGATTTAAACAAGGATTGCTCAAAAGGAGAACCGAAGAGCCATGTCGGGGGCCACCTCAAAACCGACGCCGGCTGGCGTCCAATCCCCCGCTTCCCATCGCGCCACGCTGTAGGCGGCCCGCCTTAGCGGTGCGCTTCAGCTTCGGGGTGGCCAGCACGTGCAGCGCCTGCTTCCGCTCCGCCGTGGAGAGGTTGCCCTGCACCTCCATGACCTGGCGCAAACGCCACGCTTTGGCTCCGGCCCCATGGAAAACAGGGGGAAATATAAAGAATGGAGAGGTCAGACAAACTTGGGAGAGGTGGGAACATGAGTGAGTCACCAGACTTTTAAGGGCAAGGGAGTGGTGCCTTGACTGTTGGTGGACAGAATCAGCCCCGCCCTGGCCTTGCCCAACTAAGAATAGACTGCCGAATATTATACCCGACCCTCGCAAGGAATGTGGGCACGGGTGGTGATCGGCAGCCCAGCCTTGCAACAGTGGATTCAGGAGCGTGCTCTTGTTGGTTTCAGCAAGTTCCCCAAGGCGCAATATAGAACACAAGAAGCCATGGCAGCAGTCCCATCTGAAGCAAATAAAACAACAAGTTACGCTTCTTGCGCGAGTGAGCATACGTTGCCTGCCTGCCTTGGGAGATCACGGCAACATGTGGCTGTTGTGTAAAAACTGTGTCTCTCCCATAAGTAGCGGCCTGGGCAACTGCACACGAATGCAAGGGCACATCACCCAGTGTGTTGCCCCTATGATTGCTGCTCCGGCATGTATCACGTGCAACAGACTGTATCGGTGAACAAACTGAAAGATGGGGTCCCAACTTCGGGGAGAAACCCACAAATACGGCAGGCTCACCACAATGTTGCGGTTCTGGATGCCGGCAGCGGCCAGAAGTGTCCGCTTTGCCGAGCCGTCCTCAGCGCTTCAAGATGTGAGGAGAGGGAGGGGCAGGAAAGGCGTATGGGTGGGATGGGGAGGGTGGCCGGGCGGCTGCAAAAGCTGTTTCATCCAGCATCCAGCACCTATGGGAAAAATGGCGCAATCAAATGGCTCAGCTGTTCAGAAACAAGAGAACTCTGAAGGTCATCCAACCATGTTTCACCTCAACCTGACACATCATCCGGTTTGAGTACTAGGCATCTAAAAAGACATGATCATTCAGCAAAACTTTGGACTCCCCACTAATCCATATGTGCTATGAATTGTGTTTTTGTTGAGGATGCCCCTCTCAGGGTGATTAAGCAAGGAAATTCAAAGGGAAGTAACTCAGAGTAAGTAAAGACCTTGAATTTATGGAAACAGTATTAAGACATATGTATATATACATATATGTATTCATATTTATCTCAGTTTCAAGTTTGAACGTTAATTCTATTATATGGATTCTTCATGACTATCAGTGACGTTCTTTGCGGGGATTCCCTTAGACACAGTGCCAGTGGGCGGAAGGCTTCCGACACCCCAGCTGTTTGAAGCATCTGGGAATCTGGGGTTCCGACATCCAGCGCGTAGATCCCGAAGTTCATCTCCTTGGCAAGGAGAAATGTTTATAGTGAGTACACATTGTTGCAACACGCATGGGTGATATATTTCAATTGGGGACCCACTAAAAGTGGACATAAGTTACGTTCGGAGTTGCGTCCGACAACTATGTTTGAGGGTCCCTAGTTACATTTGCACAACTCTCCCAACAAGGCGTTAGGAGACGCAGCTTCGAAGCTTCTTCACCAAACGAAATGGTAGCTTCTTTGCTTCAGACGCACTTTTGTCGCACCGAGCTTTCAAGGACTGCCACCCCTGTCATAGGTTTGAGTTCCACGGACTTTTGACAGCTTCTCAGATTTTGGACGTTGGCTGCTACAGTCTGCGCAAGTCTGAAGATCGGGTCTTGCCTGTCTGCGTGGCCTGGAGTATTTTCGTGTGAATCCCACTAACAGTTTGGCGGCCGGTTGCAAGCATGCAACTGGTGCCCGAGGCCAGCGAATCGCCCATCCCCCAACCTCCCCACCCCAATTGTACGTGGTTGCGCTCCAAGACAAACGAACAGGTGGGCATAAGCTGAATGTCTTCCACTGTTGCCTGCCATGGGGCCTGAAACCGGGTTCCCCATTTTGTGCTTCGTTTTCTTGCTTCTTGTTGATTTCCGCCGACCACTTGACTTTCATTGAGAAGCGAAGAAATGTTCGATGTGAGTCACTGTCATTAACATGTTTCCAAAGCGTTCCTTCGTTTCTCGTTGGCAGCCTAATTGCTTCAAAGGGGCATCTTCTTCTGAGTTCATTAAGAACTTGGATTGGATCCAAACATGGGGTCATATTTGTGTAGACCCTGAGGGCCTCTTGAACAAAACGATGGGGCCGCTGTGCGTGCTGCCCTTGCTGAACATCCACAAGGCTTGTCAGTGTGACCAGAATACAAGTTGTTCCGAACAGGCCTGGTGGTTCAAATCCAGGCAACGGTTTGGCCTTAATGCTATTTGGAGGTTCGTCAGACTTGGTCAGTAGGCCACCCCAACTCTCTAACTCTGCTTTCCCCCCACCGACGCGGCATTGCCAGGCACTGCAGACAAGTGGCCGGCTTGTCGTTGGAGTGCCTGAGACTCAAGGGGCGCGGCACGGGGGCGGGGGGGGAGAACACTGTCTGTTTCTTTCCAATTAGTGGTTTGGATCGGATTGGCCAAACCACCAATCCGTTACCTGACTTCGCATGGAGAAAGAACTCCACTGGTCTGGAACTTAGATCGGGCCCCGCAACTCATGCTATGTGCGCGGGCCACAATTCCTTGTAGAGTAGTAATATGAACAAACCTTTGGACTGAACCAGAGAAGCACCAGCAGCCCTCACAACTCGCTGAAAAGCAAAAGGTGCCCTCATGACCCGTTCTCTACCCAAAGGCTTCGGTACGTTTGATGCTTATGCACTGCGAGCAACACAAACGCACTGTACTTCATCCAGTCTTCTGGCGAGTTGGCCTGTGACATCTCCCTGCAGGCGCGGAGGCTTGCTCCAAACCCAGACCCCAGAAACCCCACCTGTTTGTTTTGTGCTTTCTGGAACTGCGACAACCTGTCGACTTTGTGGCAGTCGCTCCAATTTTGTTCGATCTCAAAAAGGGGCTGCGAAGCCATGCCATTGCATACAACGCTGCGCCCCTTTGGGGTATCTGGGGTGCCTGATACCCCATAGCGTCAGTCTTTGCACACCCTCATCTTCAGCATCTCGCGTTCATCTTGTTTTTGGTGCACTTGCAGCTTCTCTTACGGCACAGGTAGGGCTTCCAGTTGAGCTGATCACTCTGCATGTGCTTCTCCTCAAGCTGCTGCTCAGACTGCTTCGCATTGGCCTCCTGTCCTCCGCCAAACCCGCTCTTCCAGATCATAACTTTAGCTTCCACCTGTGGGATACGCTGCAAACCATAGAGCGTCATCATCGCCAATGCCACATCCTTCAGGCTAATGTTGCCCACCGTGGCGGCTTTCTTCTTCACCTCAACCCTGCCGCGAATCACAGCTGAAACCGGCGAACTTCTTGAGTTCGAAGCCTTTCGTGCCAATGTCTGCCACGTTCTCGTTGGCGCCAATCTGTGGAGTGTGAATCTCTTTGCCTTCAAAGCTTGCTGCACCCACAAGCCCTTCACTTCCAGGCGGCGAACGCTCTGCAAAACTCCACCAGCACCCTCATCTGCGCGGGGTGTCCAAGGAACTCCGTGATGTGCTGGTAGAACAGGTCGCCCCAACTTCTTCATTGAACTCTGCTTCTTCACTGGTCAAGCACATCATGTTGAGCGATCTGCTGTAGCGGGTTCAATGTGGCTCCACCTGTCTGCTAGACACCGCGCGCCGCACTCTTCCTGGTCTTGTGTTGCTGTGTAGACATCCAGATATCGCATCTCACCCTTTGCTTGAATGATTTCAAGATGCTCCCTGACATGGCGCTTGGGCTCATGGTTCAGTGACCGGATCTTTATGCCTGCCACCTTCAGCATGGCAAGGGTATTATTGCTGGCTAAGCACCTGGATGCTGAATCTATCTCAGAAACTCGGCCCATCACTATAAGCTCATTGGCATACAGGCTGTGCGGACGCGCTTTTTTTGGGCGGGGGTTGTTGGAGGCTGGTTAAAAAGGGCGGGATGGGAGTGCTGACCACGGATGTGGCTAAGATGTTCAAGGCAGCGCGGCCGGCCGCCGCAGTGCCAGCAGCAACCACAAATGCTTGGATTTCCCACCTTTGCTCTATGAAGATACTTGAGGGTGCAGAAAACCTTGAGCGTGGGCCACACGTCCACTGTCGGTATACTGGAAGGTGATGCACTGTCTGTAATGGTTGCTACACTATTCGGAGTGGCTTGGTGCGCAGCCATTCGCGCCAGGGATGGAGGCACAGCTGTGCCCACTGTCTATATTGACAATTTGGATGTGGTGGCAAAATCCGGAAAGGGTCTTGAATACGCCTGTGAAGTGCAGTTAAAAAACCCTGTTGCTGGGATGTTGGATTCGCAAAAGACACACAAGCCTTCCTTGACGATGGAGCGGACTGCATGTGGGAAAACTCTGGGCGCGGCGATGACTGACAACAAGCATCCACTCAATGGTGCACAGGCGAAGCGAATCCAAAGCGTTTATGTGTCTCCTTTCTCAATCTCCCAGAGCCTGGCGCAGGCATCCTCTAGACGACGGTCTCGCGGGACCAAAGTGTCATTGTAGCACTGACCAATTGTTCTTGGATTTGGTGAGCGTCTTGCTTTTGTTCTTGTCCTTGGACTTAATCTTCCCGTCCTTGGCTTTCTCTTTGGGGCGCTCGCCCTTGCCAACTCCACCAACCTTGCCCCGCGGGTTAAACCCTGCTCCAGACTGCAAATAGCCCTTCACACACTTCTTCAGCTTTTCATAGTTCAAAGCCATTTTGACTCCGGCAAGCGCGCGCTTCATCACCACGCCACACTTGATGCTTCCAGAAACCTCTTCTCTTGATTGGTCCAGGTAACTGTTGGTGAGGATCTCCCATAACTCCAGGCTCTCCAAGAAGTCGGCTCTGTGACCTTGCTCATAGGTGTCCACCAGCATCTTCCATGCCATGGTCCCGTTCCCTTGCTCTGCATCCATGATGACAGATAAGGCTCGCCGTTCGTGAGGATGCAGAATCAAAGTTCTTCATGGAAAGCTCACTTGCCATGGCTGCTGCCCCTGCTTGTTGCAAAAAGTTCAAGCTTACCAGGTTCATGTAGCTTCTGGCCACACGTGACCATGTCATCCAGGCGTCGTGCTTTCCAGAAATTGTCCTCAATCTCTCATAGGCCTTGGGTCGACTCCAGCTGGATGTGCAGCCCTTGGGCTTGCCTCGCTTCCTCAAAGGCCTTGGAGTGTGCCGCCCAAGGGGTCTTATGCCGGGCCACCCCGTAGTACCAAGGAGCCCCGGTCTGGCCACCCCTTAGGGATTTCTGCCTGACCGGCTCCGCTACCATCTAACGCCCTCCATTTGTTCGATCTCAAAAAGGGCTGTGATGCACATGCTATTCCATACCTAAAAGACACCCTGGCCAGTTTGCAGGGCCTCAGAACTCAAACAGCATGTTGATGATGTTTCCACAACAAAACACAGCGATCCTTGACAAAGCGAAGCTCACCCACCGCCTCGTGGCATCGCGCCAGGCACGCTTGATGCCGCTCTTCATGCACCTCAGCAAGAGAAGGTGCCAGAGGCATTGCCAATCTGCTTCCTAACGCACCGAGAAGTGGCCTGAGAAAACGTCCCTCAGAGGCGCGCCAATCCACGATTTTCCGGTCGCTGATCTCGGTGAACTCTGGGTGCTCTGTGAGGAACCTGGCCGATTCGACTGATAAGCGGCAGCCATCCCAGCACGTGCAGTAGCAGGAACATCCTGCAACTCGTGCCGGATCATGCCAAGCAGCCAGCAAAAAGAGCAACAAGCGACTTGATACCTGCAGCCTGATGGGCTAGCCTGGATCAACCAATCTAGTCTGAACTGCTGTTGCCCACTAGAGCAATCTTCAAAAATATTTACCTATCAAGCAAATGCACAAGGTCCAGAACCTGGGACATTGAGCGTCATGTCTTGTAAAAGGGTCGCCTCCAACCGGCACATGCAGTGCGGGCTGCCATTGCCTGTGGTCCAAAACAGGGATGCTCTTGGCCGAAGCAAGAACCGCGGCATGCTCCGGCTTGACGCGCGACCGGGGCGCGCCAATCCAGCCAGTGGAAGGTCCCCTCACCGGGCAAAAAGACGGGAAAGAGCGCCTGGCAAGAGATCGGCGCAGAGTTGTGGGACCCACTTCCCACAGGCTGATTGCGAAACTTGTTTGCGGCATGTTGCTGGATTCTTTATGGTTCACTGGGACACGGATTAAGCAATGGTATGTTCATGTTTCCGGGGGAGGAAACTGAGTTGAGGAAAAAGCCAAACTGAACACGGCTCGAGAAAAACGTTTGGACCATCAAAATGTAAGTGGTCGCGCGAATCAAGCATCAAGTTGTTTTGAGAAGTTGCGAGATCCGAGCTGATTCAGCCGGACTGAAGCTTCCGGAATTCAATGCACACACATTATTTACAAAACGCTGCATCTACAAACCGATTGGCCCAATCGCTGAGCTTCTGTTCTTGTGGGGAAGCTGTGGTACATTGCAACGGCAAATCACTCAAAAGGGAATGAATGTCCCGACCGCATGCCATTGTGAACCAGTATCTAGGCACTGTATGTCCAGTTTATCACGTCTCCGAAGCCTGAACAAGCACAAACAACTCACTCCAAGGCTTGCGAGTCCCAAGGAATCTTGGGCTTGCCTTCCTCCCAACCAGCTTCAAGTGCGGACTTGTGGCAAATAGGGACACCACATATTTAAGGTACCTTCTGGTACCTTTGAAGTGTGTCATATTCCAAAATTCAGAGGTCATGACCCCACGCTTGTCCCGTTGTTTCGTTTGTATCCCGGGCTTCAGACAACACGCTTTGAGCATGGGCTATCTCACCGGCTGCCTCTGGCCGCCCATCGGCTGGGACAGGGTATTTGATCCTCACCACCTGGGAATCGGAATGCCGTGCTGGATGTGACCCACATGTCTGCACAAGTACCGGAACTCACTACACGAGGCCCGGACAAAATTTCTACTTCCCCAAAAAAAACATTGAAAATTTTAACTGTCTCCGTGGAATTGTGGGAAAATCGGTCCTGCAGGTCTCCCCGAACCAACAGTATCCCATCAACGGGAAGATGCGCCAGAATACCACAAAGTGATGAACATGTGCAGTGCCCCACGATGTATATTCAAAGTGCCATCATATTCTGAGTTTGTCTCGTCTTCGATAAAAACCCTCTGAATTGATGTCGCGGTGCTAAGCAGGTGCAACGTCAGGATTGCTGCAAAGACGTGACACCGCCAGTAGAGCTGGACGTCAAATGGTACAGAAGGCAATCAGCAACTTTTTCAAGAGAGTTAGCCTACCTCTAGTGTCTTCACTCCGTTCAGTTTGGGCTAACGG